GGTTTATGGTTTTTATGCTGAAGCACAGAAACTAACTTTTACATTGTTCCGCTTTACAATACCATATCGTGATCTTTGGACAACAGTTTTTGCTTATGTCTCTTTTTGTATAATTATCACTGAAACTTTGTGTAACCTCATTCACCCTCCCCTATTGAAAGAGCCTAACAAAAAACAGAGGTTTTCAGGAGAATGTCAGACATCCAAGGAGCAGCATTACGTGGTGTCTCCGCTGGGTCCAGCTTTAAGGAAAAATGTTTCCTTGTCTGTCTTTTCAACAAGCACTTAATCACTTTGAGAGACACTGAATCCATGTTGATATATTGAGAGCTGGTCTCAAAATAGTAGACAGTAAAGATGAAAGAGCACAATGTAACACGTGTCCTCTGGGGCTCCAGAGGTCATGGATACCTTCCCTACATGCTGCCATGTCACCACAGGAAGTTCTATTACTGCCAGCACCCAGAATGACTTGTCCTGGCCCCTGTATTCACTCACCTGCATGGCCATCCCATTAGGGGCTGAGAGCTCTGGGCTGAGTAAATGTGCCAACTCCTTAGCAAGACCCGCAAAGGGGTCAAACCCATTTCAGTACTACTCCTGACACTCCATAATTAGTGTTGTGGCTGTTTCTAAGGGGAAGCATTCTCTTAGGTTTGTGCAGCATAACAGGTTTTTTAAAACTTTTAATTCTTTTTAACCAAATTTAGAAGTCAGGAAGGGCTTAGCAGGAATGATATTTCCTTTCAAGGTCAACCAAGGCTCTTTAAGTAAAGTAACAGGACATCCAAAGTTCAGTTTTAGAAAGTTCTACATTAGCTCATTAAAAATAAATAAAAAGTCTAATGTATCTTCAAAACGGAGGATATTACAATTAAGAGGCTTTTAAGGAATGGTGATTTTCTTACTTTTGAATATATGAATACTTCTTAGTTTTGTCTGGTATATGAAAGAAATCCATAAGTTCAAGTCAAATCTAATTTCTAAAAATTCCAAATTTGCTGTATCTGTATTTATAGATGAATTAAATACTTGAAATTAAGAGAGAAATTTAAGTGCTCTTTAAAAATTATAAATGGCCAGGAGAGCAAACGAAGAATCAAGGGGAAAAAGATTCTGGAAAGCTAGAAATGTGATTTTAGTCTTTGAATCTCTGCAGACCCTTCATAAAAACAGACAAAGGCAAGGAGGATATGAAAACAAAAGACCTACAGACATTATCTACTATAAAACCAGTATTTGGGAGGCTGAGGCACAAGAATCGCTTGAACCTGGAAGGTAGAGGTTGCAGTGAGCTAAGATGATGCCCCTGCACTCTAGTGGGAGCAACAGAGTGAGGCAATGTCTAAAAACAACCAAAAAAAAAAATAGTATCAGTGGTCAAGGGTAAACTGGTAGCACACACAAAGACACAAACAGTTTAAGAAACTGTAGAAGAAAATGAAAGTAAAACAAAAAAGACAGAAAACAAGAGAAACATCATCAGGTACTTTCTGGAGACTTCAGTAGGCCATTCTATTCTGGGAATAGCAACAGAAACCAGGAGAAGCCTTAGTAGGCTTTAATCCAAAGTTGAAAACAAAGGAACCACATGAAGGTTCTCTGCTAGAGATAACTGAGGGTCTGGGCCCAAAGGACGCTCAAAACCAATAAAGAGAAGCACCCTGGAATGTTAAAGGACCAGCCTGAGAAGTCTAGATGGGCCAAGAGAGGTGTGCTAGGAATAAAGGAAAGAGGAAGTATAGGCAAAAGAGGGCCACAGAAGTGTTATTTTGACCCAGCCCTTCCTCCTAAACTAGATAAAACTCTTCTACTTCAAAAGCAACAAGAGGGCTAGGTGCAGCGGCCATCCCTGTATTTCCTCCCTTAGGGAGGCCAAGGTAAGAGAATCACCTGAGGCCAGGAGTTTGAGACCAGCCTACGCAGTAAATGGAGACTCCTGTCTCCACAAAAAAGAAAATAGCTGGGCATGGCAGTGTGTGCCTGTGGTCTCAGCTACTCAGGAAGATGAGATGGGAGGATCGCTTGAGCCCAGAAGGCCAAGGCTGCAGAGAGCCATGATAGTGCCAGTGCACTCCAGCCTGGGTGACAGAGCAAGACCTTGTGTCAAAAAAGAAAAGGAAAGCAAAGAAAGAATAAAGAGGAAACACAAGAATACAGGAAACAAGCACTTAAGAAAGACCAGTCATAAAATAAACAAAGACAATAACCCAATATTTAATAAGCTAATAGAAATTAAGAAAATAAAGGAACTAGAAAAGTCAGACTTGGAGTAACTTGGAAATAAGGTGATAAGAAGAGAAAAAAAATGTAAAAAATATTTCAGAAATGAAGACTAAATTAGAAAAAACACAAAAGGTAACGCCTCAACAGAAGGAAAAGACTGGAAGTTAAGAAAATAAAGAAGAAATTAAGAGATTAGAAAAACCTCAACAGAAAGTAACAGCTATAAATGCCCAAATAACATGTAAGCTTTATCCAACAGGAATCCCTGAAGAAAAGTAAAGTAACAAAACAGAAAATACTGAAGAAAATAATGCCAAATAACAAGATTTGGAACTACCCAGAAGAATCCACTATGTACCTAGCAGTATCAACCAAAAAGACCATAATTAAGAAAACTGTAGTAAAACAAAAGGATTTTCAAGGAAAAGAATTATTTTGGCATCCAGGCAAAGAGACTAAGTCACTTATAAGATGAAGAAAGTCAGATGTTCATCACAGTTGACCAAAATACTTTATGACAAAACAGATTGGCATATCAAAGATGCTCAACAAAAAATTGTTGAATCAAGATAGGTTTCAATGTAGCCAAAACCACCTTGAAGGTTTTGAGCGAAAGAATAATTTTATTCACATGGAAGAACGTGGGAATACTGTGCCCGCGAGCCCTTACAAGAGCACCTATTGGAGGATTAGTTCCAGAAAACCAAAATGATTAAACTATCAACATAAGGATTTGTGGTGGCTATTACATGTATATTTACTTATACAACTAAGAATAAATAATGGCTTGAGGGAGAAAGTATACTAGTTAATGACAAGAATGTAAGAATATATACAGTAAAAATGTTCGGGCCGGGCACAGTGGCTCACGCCTGTAATCCCAGCCCTTTGGGAGGCCGAGGTGGGTGGATCACGAGGTCAAGAGATCGAGACCATCCTGGTCAACATGGTGAAACCCTGTCTCTACTAAACATATAAAAAATTAGCTGCGCATGGTGCCGCGTGCCTGTAATCCCAGCTACTCAGGAGGCTGAGGCAGGAGAATTGCCTGAACCCAGGAGGCAGAGGTTGTGGTGAGCCAAGACCGCGCCATTGCACTCCAGCCTGGGTAACAAGAGCGAAACTCTGTCTCAAAAAAAAAAAAAAAAGTTCACTGTCATCTTTCAGCTATAAACTTTAAGTTAAAGTATACTAATTCAAGTTAGATTCTTCAGAGAAGAGGACATAGAAGACTCTAGCTAATTTGTTAATTTTAACAACTCAGTATTCAGTACAGCACTGAAGTGTGGGAACTAGCAGTCTATACTACGTAATACTGTCATACCACTCTGTCAACTTATCATTGAAAGTTTAATTATAGTTCGTATTCATTGAAAACTTATTGCATGCCAGATGCTTCTCTAAGCGCTTTAAATATATTCATGTTATTCAACTCTCCCAGCAACTTTATAATGTAGTTATTATTAACAGTTTCAATTTACAGATAAGGTAATTAGGAAACAGAGCTGACATCCAAAATGTAAGCCTTACGATATCGGAGCTTGTTTTCTTTCCAACTGTGCTAGCATGAGAAAATGACACAGCTAATAGGCGTGGTGGTGCTCATCTGTAGACCGAGCTACTTAGGTGGCTGAGACAGGAGAATTGCTTGAACCAGGAGGCGAAGGTTGCAGTGAGCCAAGGTCGTGCCACTGCACTCCAGCCTAGTGACACAGCGAGACTTTCTCTCAAAAAAAAAAAAGTTATATAGCTAGAATAAACTTTCACCCTCTGCTTTTGATTAGAATTATGCATGTTATTAAAAGGTCATCACGCCGGCTGCGGTGGCTCATGCCTGTAATTCCCAGCACTTTGGGATGTCGACACAGGCAGATCACAAGGTCAGAAAATCAAGAGCAGCCTGGCCAACAGGGCAAAACCTCGTCTCTACTAAAAATACAAAAATTATCTGGGTATGGTTGCTGTGCCTGTAATCCTAGCTACTTGAGAGGCAGAGGAAGGAGAATCACTTAAACCAGGGAGTTGAAGGTTGCAGTGAGCCAAGGTCAGCACCACTGTACTCCAGCCTGGCAACAGAGCAAGACTCGGTCAAAAAAAAAAAAAAAGTCACATGTTGATCACAAACTCTGATTAGAAGTTATACATTTTAATGAAAGCTGGGAAATTATTTAAAATATACAAAAGTAAGCTTGGCAAACAAAATACTTGAGAGTTGTCATAAAAATGACTAATGGCAGAGCTTAGTGGAAAAATATAAAGAGTTCCTACAGATACCCTAATACTGATTGCATCTTCTATTTTACTAGTCCTGATATTAGACATGAATTTAACTAGGAAGTTGGTCACTTCACATTCACTCACTTTTTCAATATCATGATTATCTCACCTTTCGTCATCATGTCTCTTTTTTTTTCCCCCTTCCTCTTCTTAATCTGTCTCTAGTCTTCATAGAGTCTACAAACTTTACTAAGCATCTAGCATGTGCTGGCCACTACGCCTCTTAAGACAAGTCTCAGCCTTATGCTAGGGAGTGCAGGCATCAGGCAGGGCTTCCTAAAGGACATGGAGACTGGAAGAAAATCTATGACAGGAATGAAAAGAGGGATGGAGTATGTTTCAGATGGTAAGTGCTGGGAGACCAAAGAATTTCATCGAGGCAAAATAACAAGAACATTACAATTAAAAGATTTTTATGGTTTTTTGAGAAAGATATATTTACACTATAAAAGTTAGTGGCAATCAAAGTTTATCAAACTCAGTCTTTGAATACTTACATTTAATTCACTTTTTAGCACTTCTTCAAGAAGATGACTTACATGTTTATTATCTTCCTTTGTATCTGTAATTACACAAACCTCTTGGGAAATTCTCTCTGAAATTAAAAAAAAAATTTAAGTTTCAAACAAAACATCTAACAAGGCCCTAGGATGCTGAAACCTAAACGTACCTGATGTTCTTAGCTGTTGACCAAAAATAGGAAGGTTTTGACTTCAGCCCAAGTAGATTAATCTGTGTCCACACTAAGATGGCCTTGATTCAGTTTACTACCCAGGTCCATAAATCTATCCATTAAACACTTTGTGGGTAGAGAACCAGCCATTGTGCAACTAACAGAAATAAGATATTTTAGGATGCATTCAGAAGGGAGTAACTAGAGGTGACTACCATTTCAAGTTCAACAATTCGATCTTTCCATGTTTATAACGAGTCTCCCAGAACCTAACAAATTTCTTCTTCTCAAACAGATTCACTCTTTAGGCTACAGGTTATTGCCTATGCACAGACTCACTGTGACATCCAGTGCCCTGGTTAAGTACATCATGTTCCTTGGCATTCCTCTAGATTTTCAATTCAATAAAATTAACTTCCTGTTCTGACTACAGCAATAACAACTAAAAACAGGTGAAATAATTTTCTTCACATCTGGAAGAGCTGAGATGGTCTGATTTAAAATTTATGAACTATGTGACACAGTGATAGTCACCTCTGGAAACCCTGGATACATTCTCCCAAAAGACATTAAGTCCTGCTCTACAGCAGGCAAATCAGAAGGTACCCTGATTCAAGGTAAGGTGACCTCTTGTTTTTATGATATGAAGTTCAACCATGAGCTGAAGTCTGAGAATTTTTCTTAATCCCCATATTCCTGTCTTAAAATTCTTCACTATTTTCTTCCTTCCACTATCTGTTTAGTTTGCTGCTTTTCTTTTTAAAACTGTTTAAGTTGCTGACTCTCTCCCTTTTTTCTACTATTTAAATCTCTAAATTTTCCTCTAGTAACAGTTTTAGCTGTATCTCAAACATTGTGATATTTTCACTCAATTTAATTTACTTCACATTTAGTTTAAAAGATGTCACTTCTTTTTACTTGCTTTCATTTAGAATCGTATAATTAGAAACATCTAATTTCTATTGCAGTTTCTTATTTCACCTATGGATTATGTAGAATTTTACTGTTTTTATTAGGTCGCTGTGCAACAATTACTATAAATTTGGTAGTTTAAACACCACCCCATTAAGTAGTTCACAGTGCTACAGGTGAAGAGATGAAGGAGGAGATGGAGAAAAAAGTGTGACTGAAAAGGTGTGAGGGGAGTACATGAACAGAAATGATAAGGTCAATGAGACCAAATGTAAATAGCTGGTTAAGTAGTGAATCTAGGTAGGTAAAAGATAGGAAAGCTATTTGTGTTATTTCTGTATCTTTTAAGTTTGAAACTGATTTAAAAAGTACCCTCTCCTAAAAACAAAAATTAAGAAAAAATATATGAAGCTATATTAATAGCAGTAGACTTTAAAGTTCACCTCTTGTAAGTGAGCAAAATATAAGGATGTAGATTTTAGATTCATAAGTAACATCATAAGAAATATGGTGAATCTGCTATTGTCTTGGTATCTACATTGTTAGCTAATCACTCCTAATTCCCAGCTATTTGCAGTCTACAGTGGTCTGCATCTGACAGGCCAATTTCTTACAATGTCTATGTAACCAATCGATATGTCCTTCCTACTGATAAATTCTCTGACTACAGTCATTCATAGAGTAGACCACATACCAAACCTTTATCAATTTCTAATTCAATGGTTATCAACTGGTTTTACATCACAATCAACATAAATATCTTTTTGTTTTTCTTTTATATTTTCAAATATCTCTGCACAGTGCATATCAAAAAAGATACTAGCCTATATATTTGCAAAGTTCCAAAAGTGATTCTGATGTACAGCCAGATTAAAACCTCTGCTTAGGTACTGCACTGATTTTTTATGATGTCGGGATTGTAAAGAGGTCTGTCATATATAGAACCTTTATAAATATGGTTTCATATATATAATACCACATTTATACTTTATATAAAGTGTCATACATATCATTTGTATATCTACTATACAGATACAAATAGTAACAATCTATGATCTGCCATATATTAATGATACTATATAGAGAGAGAGCTCTACCTGTTTATAACTATACAGTATATATTTCATGTTAAAGTTTTGTATGAAAGTTATTAAATAACTTTCAAACTTAAAAGATACAATAACGGAGAGCTTCCCTTTTACACAGATTTACTAACACATTGCATACATATTATATATGACATATATGACACTATATAGATGATACTGTATAGGTATAGACAGGTAGATCTATATAAATGATTCTATATATGTGTGCATATATTTGTATATATACTATTTGTGTGTGTTTATATATAGGGTATGTACATATTCTACTATAGCTAATCACCTGAAATGGAATATTTGGGACTATTTTTGCATTTTTCTTTAATCTTCCGTGTGGCAGTTGGACGATGGTGAGAATTGTGAGTTCACTGAGAAAAGAGTTCTGTTCAGTTGCCTATTACACAGAAACTTTGATATTTCTGACATACAACTATTTCAAAAACCTAAACCCACACAAATACTACTCTTATCTGCATGTCTCACTGGTTTTACAATTAAGCAATCTCTCACCTTTATAAAGGTGGTATTAAATAAGGTAACATGTTTAATAACTACAGATATAAGAAACCTGACAGGCATTCAATATTTGTTAAATGGAGGGAAATACAATTTTTAAATTTTTATACAATTTCAATTCTATATCTGAACAGATGCTGAAAGTAGCATATTGATACTTTGGCAGCTCTTTGCATGTGTGAAATGAGAAGAGACCAAAGAACAATTTCTATGCAGTCAAATTTTCTTTAAGGATTTTACTTTTTAAAAGATTATTATGAAGCACACATCTGTAAAAGGACAAATCAAGGGCAAGGAGATGGACTTGAAGAGTCTTTTCATTTATTGATGCCTTCATTGTGTTAGGCATTGTCTGCTCAAAATTGAGTAAGAAGTGACAGCTACTGTTACTGAATTTTCCAACTAGTGTAACAATTTTAAGATTCATCTTTCTGTAGAATAAAATATTGTCATTTTAAAAATAGACATGTGCAAGAGGAAGCCAGGAGATGTGTGTAAAATACTACATTTTGAGATTTTAGTAAGGATTAGATAATGTGTAAAATTATTTCTGGGGCCTGGTAATAGGAAACACCTATTATGTCAATGACATAATTATTGCTGTTATGGACACATACGTTAAGAACATAAATTGAAATAACTTTTGTCTACTCAAAATATTATCAGTTTCTGACTTCAAATTAATCTCTTCTTTATGGTCTTAATAGTTCAAGGTTTGGTAAACAACCCATATCAACTACATCCCACTAAGACTTTGTTTCAAATTTCCAAGTTTTAGCAAACATGCCATAATCATATGTGACAATGGAATACAAGTTTTGTGTAATACAGCTATGTTTGCACTTCTGAATTTCTTTAAAACAAATGCTTATTCCTTTTCATTGTTTACATCTTAGTTTCTCCACTAGGATCTAGGCTAAGGCATTTTATGTGATTGCTATTGACAATTTCAAAAGCATGCTGCACTATCAATCTTCTTTGCGGATGGTAATTAAAACTGACTCAAAAAAAGAAGAAAACAGTAATGACTGTACTTGTACCATGGACTTGGAAGTTCAGAATAGAAAAAAATACAACTATAGGAGCAGGGCTCCAATAAATTAATTGAACCTCCTCAATCCCAGTGTTATTCTATTATCCTCAAACTCAATGAGAGGAGGAAAGGCAACCAAAATATTTAAAAATCATTTTTTCATAAAGCACAAAATTCTTTCCAAACTTATGATTAATACTGATGATTTTCTCAAAGAAAGCAAAGCACGTAACAACTACTTTGTGGTTAAGGAAATCAAAAACATAGAAGCCTTTAGAATTCTTACTCTCTGTTCCATTAATAAAGCACTTCTTAGAAAATCTCAGAGGTTGAACTAAAAATATTGAGGCTTATCACAAAATCATTTTACATTCCAGAATTATACAAACTTTAATACAAAAATCAAGTCTTTGTTCTCCCCCTGAAAATAGACCTTAGAATTATAAAGTACTGAGATTTAACATTAAATGATACATGACCTGTGAATTTGATACCAGCCTCCGAGTTTTAGTTTTTACATTCCCTATTTTTTAAATAGCTTCTAAAAAGGCAGTGGCAGAGGGCAAAATACTAATGTCATAACAAGGAGGATCCCCCCAAAATAATTTTAACATGTAGTCTGATTTACACTGAATAACTTTGTCTGTAGCATTTAAAGGTCACATAGCTTGTTATGATTTAACAGAGAGAAAACTCACATCAGAATATTCGATAGCCTTGTATTGAAAACTGTAAGCATTAAATAAGAAGCCCAGATTTTTCAGTTAATACATCAGCCAATGTCTGAGAACCTCTAAATGGTAAAGGTATATATATAATTGCCAACTAAAATTATGCCAAAAAGAAACAATGTTCAACTTAACTTTCCTGGCTCCGATGGTTAATTTGTGTATCAACCTGACTGGACCACAGGGTAACCAGATATTTGGTCAAATATTACATTAAGTGTTTCAGTGAAGGTGTTTTGGATTGAGATTAACATTTAAATAGGTAGATGGTGATTCACAGTATAGGTAAGCCTCATCCAATCAAATGAAATCCTGAGACATCCACTCTTCAGATTTTGGACTTACCAGCCTACGTAAGTTGGTGAGCCAAATGTTCATCTGTATCCCTATCTATACCTCCTCTATTGGTGTTTCTCTGCAGAACTATCTTATACTGGCAAAGCTCTAAGCATGCTTGCTTGACCAGGTAATGAGTAATTCCCAGGTTCTCATCCTAGGATTCTCACCTCTTCTCATCCTATACAAAGCAGTAAACTCATACCTTATTCATCCATCAACCAACGCTTCCTACCAATTTCCTGGACCTCTATAAAATACACGTTCCCCTGCCTGCAGCATGATCTAATT